CAAGAACTGCTAAAAGGTTTTTTAAAAAGTCTAATTAATATGCTAAGAGGGGAGAAAAAGTTGAAATCACATACAGTGTTTAGTTAAAACAGAGAAAACACAAAATGAGTGAGACACACAAGGAAAAAAGGCAGGCAGGCAGGCAGGCAAGCAGGCAACAAATACAAAACAGTAATAGTATGAAAGATATTAATCAAATTATATCAATAAACATGTAAACATCAATGATCTAAAGCACTTAAAAGAGACTGTCAGCTGGGTGCAGTGGCTTGCGCCTTAATCCCAGCATTTCGGGAGGCTGAGGTGGGCGGATCACAAGGGCAAAATATCGAGACCATTCTGGCCAACGTGGTGAAACCCATCACTACTAAAAATACAAAAATTAGCTGGGCGTGCCTGTAATCCCAGCTACTTGGGAGGCTGAGGCAGGAGAATTGCTTGAACCAGGGAGTCTGAGGTTGCAGTGAGCCAAGATGGCGCCACTGCACTCAAGCCTGGCAACAGAGTGAGACTCCATCTAAAAAAAAAAAACGACAAAAAAAACACAAAAAAACCAGACTGTCAGAGTGAATAAAAAAAGATGGAATTATATGTTTTCTACCAGAAACTTACTTTAAATACAAAGATACAGAGAGATTAAAATTAAAGGTATGGAGAAAGACATATGCTAACATTAACTAAAAGAAAACTGGAGTAGCTATATTAATTTCAGACAGGGCAGACTTCAGAGCAAGAAAAATTATTGGGAATAAAGAGAAGCATTACATAATGATAAGAGTTAATTTTCTGAGATGATATAACAATCTTAGTGAATGTGTGTTTAACAAAAGAGCATTAAAATATGGGAGGTAAAATCTGACAACTGCAAAAAGAGATAGGTTAATCTACTATTACGGTCAAAGGTTTCAACATTCTACTAGCAGTATAGGCATAGCTCAGAGATACTGCAGGTTCTGTTCCAGATAACCACAGTAAAGCAAATACTGCAACAAAGTAAGTCACACAACTTTTTTTGTTTCCCTGTGCATATAAAAGTTATGTTTACATGACAAGGCGGTCTATTAAGTGTGCAACTGCAAGGTGTCTAAAAGACGATGTACATATCTTAATTTAAAAATACTTGAAAGGTTAAAATGCTAATGATCAGAGCCTTCAGAGAGTTGAAATCTTTTTGCTTGCATAAGGTTGTGCCTTGATGCTGATGGCTGCTGACCGATCAAGGTGGTGGTTGCTGAAGGCTTGGGTGGCTGTGGCAATTTCTTAAAATAAGACAATAATAAGGTTTGCCACATTGATGGACTCTCCTTTCATGAAAGATTTCTCCATAGCATGCAATGTTGTTTGAGAGCATTTTATCCAAGTAAAACTTCTTGCAAAATTGGAGGGTGTTGATTTTAGATCTTTCCTGTTTTCTCCTGTGGGTATTTGGTGCTATAAATTTCCCTCCAAACACCGCTTTAGCTGTGTCCCAGAGATTCTGGTACATTGTGTCTTTGTTCTCATTGGTTTCAAAGAACTTATTTATTTCTGCCTTAATTTTCTTATTTACTCAGTAGTCATTTAGGAGTAGGTTGTTCAATTTCCATGTAGTTGTACGGTTTTGAGTTTCTTAATCCTGAGTTCTAATTTGATTGCACCGTGGTCTGAGAGACTCTTTGTTATGATTTCCATTCTTTTGCATTTGCTGAGGAGTGTTTTACTTCCAATTATGTGGTTGATTTTAGAAGAAGTGCTATGCAATGCCGAGAAGAACGTATATTCTGTTGATTTGGGGTGGAGAGTTCTGTAGATGTCTATTAGGTCCACTTGGTCCAAAGCTGAGTTCAAGTCCTAAATATCCTTGTTAATTTTCTGTCTTGTTGATCTGTCTGATATTGACGGTGGTGTGTTAAAGTCTCCCATTATTATTGTGTGGGAGTCTAAGTTTCTGTAGGTCTCTAAGAACTTGCTTTATGAATCTGGGTACTCCTGTATTGGCTGCATATATATTTAGGATAGTTAGCTCTTCTTGTTGCATTGATCCCTTTACCATTATGTAATGCCCTTCTTTGTCTTTTTTGATCTTTGTTGATTTAATGTCTGTTTTATCAGAGATTAGGATTGCAATACCTGTTTTTCTTGGCTTTACATTTATATGGTAAATCTTCCTCCATCCCTTTATTTGAGCCTATGTGTGTCATTGCACATGAGATGTGTCTCCTGAATACAGCAGACTGGTGGGTCTTGATTCTTTATCCAATTTGCTGGTCTATGTCTTTTAATTGGGACATTTAGCCATTTACATCTAAGGTTAATATTATTATGTGTGAATTTGATCCCGTCATTATAATGCTAGCTGGTTATTTTGCCCATTAGCTGATTATTTATTAAAAAGGCAGTATCTGCACAGGGGAATAAAGTAAAATGCAAAAGTATAGGGTTTGCCTGTATTTCTTCTTCCCTCTCTCCTTTCTTTCTGGAATTACAAACTACATATATATTAAACATTTTCAGTATGTTTCACATATTCTGTTACCTTTTTTTCATTCTTTCTTTTCTATTAGCTTTTGTTTGAATATTTTCTAATAACCTATCTTTAAATTCACTTATTCCCTCTTCTGTTGTGTCTAGTCTTCTATCAGTGAACTAATTTCAGATACTGTATTTTGATCCTAAATTGTTCATTTGATTATTTTTTATTGATTTTCTACTACTATTTTACATGTCTTTTCTCCCTTCTATTAAAAATACATTAATAAGTTATTTTCAAATCCTTGTGTATAAACGCTAATAAAAGAACCATTTATGGGACTGCCTCTGTTGTTTTTCTCATGCTTAGTGGCCAGATATTCCTGCCTCTCTGTATATCTAGCAATGTGTACCTCTTTTATCCCTCTACTTGTTATACCGAGAGTGCTAACCTGCTGTGACTTACTATTTCTTTCTTGGAAGCGGAATTCCTCCCCTATTTCTGGGATTCTTTTTAACCTACATTATAGGAATATTGAACTACCATTGTTTTTCCTTATTAAGAGTCTGCTTGGATGTTGCATATTATTGGGTAATTCTTTGCTTTATTTCATTTTTATCCTCAAAAGAGTACAGTAGCACCTCACCTGCTCAAAAGTCATCCAACCATTGCAACTGTTAAGAATAATGAACAAGATGATCCTCTGAAATGCCAACATCAATGGCACAAAACCAGCAAATTTTTACTCACACCAGTTTTTAAGAATAAGTATACACATACATACACATATCCCATCACCCTGTGTTGTAGCAGTTAGAACACAGAATTTGACGATAGAACACGTGGCCTAAACCTCATCTGTCATTTGCTAGCAGAGAGACCTTAGATACAACACTTATTTACTCTGAGTCTTACTTTTCGATTCAAAAGCTGTTGAAAGATAAAACAGTATATTTTAAATTCATAAAGTTGTTAAGACAAAACTGTATTTTAAAGACCTTTGTAAACTGTAAGCATTAAGTGCCTTATTATATAGTTTTTAAATCTATAGATCAAAAGCCATAAATTAAACAAACATGGACATAACGGTGTAACAGATACATGGACAATAAACTGACAATCAACAGAATAACATCAAGAAAAGAGTAAAAAACTATTTTAAAAGTACAATAAGAACCCAGGTACACTACTTAACATAAACTTAAACAGTTCCTACTAATTTCAACAGACCCTGGAGCTATTACTTTAACACAGCAGGAATTAATGTTTATGACAAGTCTGAATCTGAAATAATACCCTGTATATTATTTTTAAAATATAAAAATATCTAATGAACACTGGAAAGGCTATAGTAAAAAATGACTAAAATAAAAATTCCAGTTGGATGATCTGCAAGTGGATTCGTTTCTGCTTAAGGACCTTTACACCATGTGATTTTAGCATGAGTAAATATGTAGATAAAATGAAGAATCTGTATCATTGCCCGGGCCTGGTGGCTCATTTGAGGTCAGGAGTTCGAGACCAGCCTGGCCAACAGGGTGAAACCCCTCCTCTACTAAAAATACAAAAATTAGCCAGGAGCGGTGGCACACGCCTGTAGTCCCAGCTACTTGGGAGGCTGAGGCAGAAGAATCACTTGAACTCAGAAGGCAGAGGTTGCAGTGAGCCGAGATTGTGCCAGTGCACTCCAGCCTGGGCGACAAAGTGAGACTTCCTCTCAAAAAAAAAAAAAGAAGAATCTGCATCATTAACTCATTCTCACCAGTAGAAAACCTGGTAAAAGGTATTTTTCAGAGGTCTTGGAAGATAACAAGTAATAGACTGTGGCTAAGAAAAAATCACAGAAGAGAGTGAAATCAACATTCTCATAGCGCAAAAACTAAAAGGAACAAGATGGCTCTACGAAGAAAAGGTCAAAGAAGGCATGTGGCATAGATTCTTGAAAGCAAGAGTCATTTGGGGGAACTCTAAAGAAGTGTATAGCAGGTTTGTAAAATAGGCAATACATTAAGCTTTAGTATATAATAATTATTTAATAAAAATGGTTGTAAAGTATATTTATCAATGAGTTAAAGAGATTACTCCATAGTTGACTAGGGAAACAGGCTTAAAATATCAGGCTTATGCAACAAACAACAAAATTTCAAAAAAGCACTAGATAAAGAAGTCAATAACTTAAATGAAAAGTAGGTACACAGTGTAATGTAAAAAAAGAAAATCAGTACCTTGCCATTGTTGAAAATGGAAATAGAATCAGGATCTTTTTCACAGGTCCTGTTAAAACACAACTGTGCAGGTGTGATTTCTCTAAACCTTAAAGGCATTATGCCAAAACTAAGAGTCATTTCATCCTGTATTTAAAGTCAGAACAGAATAGAGAAAAATGGCCTAATTTTTGCATATATTAAGAATTCATTATGTGCTAAGTGTTTTTATTTGCTAACTAAACCTAATGTGTATCAACCAAATTCTAAAACAGTAATATCTGAAAATATCTCTGTAAAAACTATTTCCAAAATAATTCAGTAATCTTATGAATAAATCTATTTACCTTAGCAAGTGATTTTACAATAGGATTCTCCATAATGCCCTTGAGGAAAATTAGGTCTATTTCTTCTGCTCCAGTAGATGGGGGCAGCTCTGTAAGGTTTTCCAAGACTTGCTGCATTGCTGCTGAGATAAAAGCAACATAAAAAAACACAAAAAATGTAAATTTCAAGCCGTTGTGAAGTAAAATTATTTTAATAATGCAGACAGACATTAAGAATACTCTTTCGAAAAATAATATTTTAAAAAATGAAATTGACTTCCCAGGAATTAAAAGCAGGATAGATTTTTATATGCAATTTAGACTTTATCAGACTACCTTATATACACTTACAACTTTGCACTTGCTTTATATTTTTCAAATTTAAAAACATTACTTGAGAAAAAAATAGAAAATTCAAATAGACTTATAAGAAGGAGAAAGTCTAATTTAGGAATCAGAAACTTCCTGCAAGCTCAGAACCAGCTTTCGCTGAATTCTATCAATTAATTAAAAAAGAATTAAAACCAATACTTCACAAACTCCTTCAAAAAAAAAAAAAAAGAGAAGAAAAAGAAACACTTTCCAACTCATTCTATGAGACCAATCACCCTGATACTAAACCCAACAACATCACACACAAAAAAATTACCGCCAATCTCTCCTAGAAATACAAATGTAAAAATCTTAAAATACTGGCAAACCGAATCCAGCAACATATACAAACAATTGTACATAATGGCCAAGTTCACTTTATCCCAGAAATGCAAGAGTGGTTCAACATATAAAAACTCAATCAATATACTCTATTAATAGAACAAAGAACAAAACCAAATGACATTTCAGACAAAGAAAATCATTAGATAAAACCCAAAACCCTTTCATAATAAAAACATTCACCAAACTAAAAATAGAAGGGAAATTCTTCACTCTGATAAAAGTCTTCTCTATGAAAAACCCACAGCTAGCATCATACTTAATGGTGCTTTTACTCCTAATAAGGAATAAAATAAGGCTGTACACTTTTGGCATTTTTATTCAACTTTGTATTGGAGGTTCTAGACAGGGCTGTTAAGCAAAAAAAGAAAAGAAAAAGAAAATAAAGAAAAGGCATCCAGACTGGAAAGCAATACGTAAAACAATTTATATTTGCAGATCATATTATTTTGTATATGGAAAATCCTAATATACAAAAATTTATTATCACTAATAAGTGCATTCACCAAGGTTTCAGTATACAAGATTAATACAAAACAATCAATATGTTGTTACACATAGTATATTTCTATACACTAGTGACAAACCATCCAAAAATGAAATTAAGAAAACCATTCCTTTTATAGTAGCATCAAAAACAATAAAATACTGAGAAATAGATGTAACAGAAGTAGTAAAAAATTTGTACAATGAAACTATAAAACATCATTGAAAGAAGACCTAAGTAAAGGGAATGACATCCCATGTTCACGGATCAGAGGACTTATTATTAAAATGGCAACAGTTCCCAAATTAACCTACAGGTTTAATACACTCCCTATCAAAATCTCAACTGCTTTTTCTTTTTTTTGTAGAAATTGACAAGCTCATTCCATTCATATGGAAACTCGAAAAAACCCAGAATACCCAAAAGAGTCTTCAAAAAGAACAACAAAGTTGGAGACCCCACACTTCTCAATTTCAAAACTTACTAAAAAGCTACAGTAATCAAGACTGTGTGGAACTAGCATATAGACAGACACACAACTAAACAAGAGGCTAGAAACAAATCCATAAATTTATGGTCAATTGATTCTGACAATGTGCCAAGACAATGCAATAAAGAAAAAACAGTCTTTTCAACAACTGGTGCTGGGACAACATATATACACGTAAGAGAGTGATGCTAGATCCCCCTATTATAATCTTATTAGTTTTATCTCTTTTTGATGTTTCTTAGAATAAATCAACAATAAATACAGAAGTTGTTTTTAATATTAACTTTTATTTTTATTAAAATACAAACACTGTTAAAAGTCAGATTGTACTACTAAATGGCTTATAAATACAGTTTTCTGTTCCATGCTACTTACCCTTCTTCCAACATATCCTACTCCCAGAAGTAATTACTAGGAATTTAATTGTTTCTTCTAATCAGATCTGTTCGTAGTTTCTCTTCTTTCTGGATAATATGCTAATATTGCTACTTTGTGATCGACTCATTTTGGACATTATCTATTTTCTGTTAGAATACTAGAGGTTTCAGCTTTTACCTTCTCTATCTTCAGATTCTCAATTTTTAAAAATAAAATCAATATTGTTTTTCATATGGAACTCAAGTTTTTTCCAAATGTTCCAACAAGCTTCTCACATTTTTACCAGTATTTTTCTAAATGTTCAAATCTTTTTCTAATACTCTATCAGAGCTATTTCCTGTCTTCTATCCCTGATCTCCCTCACAAAGCATTCTTCTCTCGTATGTTAACTTGGACAGGTTCATCTATGGGTGTTTCATGGATTACTGACAATTTTTGAAGGTAAAGAGGTGAACAAGAGGACAATGTGCACTTGACAAAGGAGAAGGAAAACAAGTACTGGACTAAGATGAAGAAAGATGACATAAGAAATAAAGAATATAAACTACACCTACTTTGTAATTTTGCTTAAAGTCAACAGGTTACCTTTAAGTGGGCAGGGAACAATAGAATCAAATTTTAAAAGTACTTTTGTCTTGTGGCTATAAATGTGGTTAGCAGTACTTCTCATTACTTATTTTTCTTTCTTTTGACATTGTACATTTGTCTTTATTTTTAACTTTTATTATGGAAAACTTCAAACATATATGAAGAAAACAATATAATAAACCACACAATGATCAGTGCCAACAATTAGCAACTCATGGTCAATCTTGTTTCATACTCCTATATACTTTCTACCTTATATAACTTTGAAGCAAATTCCAGAAATCCTATTTCAATGTATATGTCTCAAAGATCAGCACTCTTTTTAAACAACATAACCTAAATACTCAATAGTATCAAATTAGCAATACCTAACAAATTAACAGTAATTCCTTAATGTTATCAAATGTTTAGTCAGTGTTCATAACTCCAGTTGTACTGAAGATGTTTTTTAAATGTACCTTCTATATTGATTCTTGAGGTGCTTGCCTTTTTTTTTTTTTTTTTTAAATTGGTGTTTAAGTCAGTAGAAAAGTGATAGAAATTGTGAAATAGATCTTTGGTTATTTTAAAGATCTTCCTAAGTTGTTACTGATTCTTAATCATATGGAATTTAATCTAGAAATGGATAAACTTGACAACATCCCTTGTCCTGGAAATCTCCAATATTATAATGCTGTCAATCATTCTCAAATTAGTTTGTATATTTGGTAGATTGATAGTCAAAATACAATACATAGTTCTTTTTAACTACATTATCCTAAAAGCATATGAAACAATAAAGAAAAACCATGTGAGAAAATTATAACAAATAATGAGAGATGGGCCTAATCCCAATTTAGTAAACGTGATTCTGCGGAGTCCCTCACCAAAATTATGAACAGTGGAATCTGAGCTGGTATCTTCTTACAGAAATCTCTCCTGCTGTTTCTCTGCTTAACATAGGAATAGCTGTCCTTTGTTACCAAAGTCCTTTCTTCCCCAAACTTCAAATAATGTACCTTCATGATTTTTTTAAAGTAGCAAAACGATTTAGTCCTATAAAATATTAAAACATAAATATATAATGATTATTCAGCTATCGATAAACACTAGACAACTCTAGCATATGTAAATACTTAATATATAAAATAAGAGGCTCTCTGGAATAGGAGGCTTACAAAGTTAAGACAGGAGCCAGAAAAACAGGGAACTTTTTCCCATTTACTTAGAGATCGCAGGAAGAAAGAAGAGTCTAAACTCAACAGGTAAGTCACCTACAAAGTTCCACTCCTTCTCAATAATCTCTAGAGGAGATAAATATTTTAATCAGACCCTAGATTCAATAACACATAAATGGGATTCTTTTTTTTTTTGTTGAGAGAGAGTCTCGCTCTGTCGCCCAGGCTGGAGTGCAGTGGTGGGATCTCGGCTCATTGCAAGTTCCGCCTCCTGGGTTCACGCCATTCTCCTGCCTCAGCCTCCCGAGTAGCTGGGACTACAGGCGCCCGCCACCACACCCGGCTTATTTTTTCTATTTTTAGTAGAGACGGGGTTTCACCGTGTTAGCCAGCATGGTCTCCATCTCCTGACCTCCTGATCCGCTCGCCTTGGCCTCCCAAAGTGCTGGGATTATAGGCGTGAGCCACCGCGCCCGGCCATAAATGGGATTCTCACATGGGCTAGAGAAAAATTAACAGATTTAATCTAGACTCTTCAGTTACAAATATGAATAAAACCATGAATCATCAATCACTTATGAAAACTAGCAGCATCTATTAGACTAACCAAATTCAACAAACAAAAGCATGAACCTCCAGAGAAACAGAATTACCAGGAAATAAAAAGAGAGGGAAAAACAAAAACAAGATTAAATTGTGATACGCAGAAAGATCAAGCTGAAGAATACTCCCATGAAAAAAGGGCGAAGAGCGGCAAAGTATGAGTAAACTGTTATGGATCATGAAAGACCAAAATTTACAAGGTAATCAAATCCGGAAATGAATTAATAAAAGGAAAAGCAAAAGTCATTCAATCAAAAGAGATACATTCAATCAGTAAGTCAATAAATAGCTGGCTTTTTCGAATGACCAATTAAAATAGACAAATACTCAGCTAGTTTAACCAAGAAAAGACAAGACACGAAGAGTGATGTCAGTAAGATGGCTGACTATAAGTGTCTGGTGCACATTCCTCCGCTTCAAGAAAGGACCAAGGCAATAAATAAACACCTAAGATTTGACTGTAGTGTTTAAGGGAGAGTGCTGAAGTACAGTAGGAAAGTGGAGAGATACCTGTGATGATTGGAAGCCCACAAGGCCAGTGGGAGGCATCCTGCCTCTGCCATCCCATCCCCCAAACATGGAATGGCCCTGAATCAGGAAGGACTTCTTGCGGGGTTAGGGGCTTGGGTAGGGGAGGAAGGTAATCAGAGGAACCTCAGCAGCCTCCACTCCCACTGCAAACACACGCAATCCTTACTAAAGGAGAATCCACAGTCCTTGCAAGCCCTGAGCCCAGTTTGGGGAGCTGCTGTGAATTTACACAGCTGTATTCCCCCAGACTGGGAGCACAAGATCTGCACTCCTCACCCACCACTTACTCCCTGTGAGCCAAGCTGCTGCAGCATGTCACCCATTATCTTGAGACCAGAACCATTTCTGAAGTATACCATCCACTTTTCCAGCCTAGGAGTTGTTTTCATTCCACTACGTCCACAAAGGTGTCTGAATGCCACAACCCCAACTGCATAGAGCCTGAGCCCAGGATCTGCTGTGACTCTGGTCCTGCAAAGCAAGGAGCCTGAGCCCAGGATCTGCTGTGACTCTGGTCCTGCAGAGCAAGGAAACCAATCCCTGCTGCCAGCACTTCCGGCCAAACAATCTGGTGGACACACCCAGGGAGAACCCACCCTTGAGCCAGCCACACCATTGTATGCCCTCCCCTGAGCAGCAGAGGTCCCTGAGCAACTGAGTAGCTGACATGTCCCCATGGTGGCTGGATGGTTGTACATCCATGTCCTGAGCCTGAAAAACAGCCTGGCAGGCTAGCCTCTGGTGAAGATGTCCTTGGACTGGCTGCATATTGGCACCTAGGCCCTAAGATACTCCAGGAGGCCTGAACTCAACAAACATGCCCACAGACTGGCTGAGCAGTTGTGCACCCAATCCAGAACCTAAACAACAGAGTAGTGGGTTCTTCTCTGGCAGACATGCCCCCAGACTGGTCAAGTGGCTGCATACCATCCCTCAGAACTTGAGAAATAGCCCAGTGGCTCCAACCCAGGTGCTGTGTCTCCAAGTCAGCCAAGCAGGCATGTGCCCATGCCACCAGTCAGAGTAACAGCCCCATGGCCATAATCCCAGCAAGCCAGACACCAAGTTGCTTGCCTCATCACAGCATTCACTCACGCACCCCTAACCTGAGAAACAGCCCAGTGAGCCCAACCCTGGCAGAGCTGCACCATCGCCACCACAAACTCTTGCAGCCTAGGCCACTGACACACTTACAAACATCACTAAAATTGATTACTGCTGAAGAATCTGCAGAGACTGCACTAGTGGGTCTACCTAAAAACAAAGTGAATGCACCCCAGCAACCAATACTCCAAGTTTTTTCACCACCTCCATAAAACTGGAAAAGGCAACTTTTCTACCATATGTGTAGAAATAAATCAATGTAGAGCCACATCGAACATGAAAATACAAAGAAACGTGACACTTCCAAAGGAATACAGCAATTCTCCAATAACAGATCCCAATTATTAGGAAATATACAAAATATCAGAAAAAATTCAAAATAATAATCTTAAGGAAACTCAGTGAGAAACAAAAGAATACAGATACACGATTCAACAAAATTAGGAAAAATGATTCATTATTTGAATGAGAAATTCAACAGAGAGAGAGAGATCAGAAAACAAACAGAAATCTTAGAACTGAAGAATTCAATGAATGAAATTAAAAGAAAATACAACGAAGAGCATCAACAAAAGACTAGACCAGGCAGAAGAAAGAATTTCTGAACTTAGGACAGGTCTGTTGAAATAACTAAGGCAGACAAAAAGAAAAAAAGAATAATTTAAGGAACACCATTAAGTGAACAAATATTCACATTATGAGAGTTCCAGAAGAAGAAGAGAAGGGAAACGTCATAGGAAATATTTAATGAGCTAGTTGTAAAAAACTTTCCAAGTCTTGGGAGATAATGGACATCCAGATCTAGGACGCACAAAAGTCCTCGAATTGATAAAATCCAAACAGTCCTCTCTGGGGCACATTATACTCAAACTGTCAAAAGTCAAAGACAAAGAGTTCTAAAAACAGCAAAAGAAAAGTATCAAGTCATAGACGAGGAAATCAAAACATCACTACAGAGAACCACTCATCCACAAAAATAAACAATGAGAATGTAAGAAACAAGGGATATTTTTTAAAAAGAAAAGAAAACAACAAAATGACAGGAATAAGTCCTCACGCATCAACACCACCCTTGGCTGTAAATGGATTGGATTCCTCAATTAAAAAATATAAACTGGATGAATGGATTAAAAAAAACAAGAGTCAACTACATGTTGCCTACAAGAAACTCACTTCAACTGTGAAGACACACACAGGAAAAGCAAAGAGATGAAAAAAGATATTCCATGCAAATAGCTACACTTATTTCATTTTAGATAAAACAGTCTTTAAAAGCTGTGAAAAGAGACAAATAAGGACATTGTAGTAAAAGGGTAAATTAAGCAACAGGCTAAAACAATTATAAATACACACAACCCTGGAGCACCCGATATATAAAGCAGATATTATTACATCTAAAAGGAGAGATAGACCCTAATACAATAATAGCTGGAAACCTCAGCATCCCACTCTCTGCATTGGACAGATCACCTAGTCAGAAAATCAACGAGATATCAGATTTAAACTGCACCATAGGCCAAATAGACCTAACAGACATTTACAGAACATTTCACCCAACAGCTGCAGAATACACATTTTTTCCATCAGCACATGAAACATTTTCTAGGAAAAATAAAGACAAATGTACAATGTCAAAGGAAAGAAAAATAAGTAATGAGAAGTACTGTGAACCACATTTATGACCATATGTTAGGGCACAAAAGTCACAAATTTTTTTTTTTAATCAAAAATAATATCAAGTATCTTATATGACCACAATGAAATAAAACTAGAAACCAATAACAAGAGAAACATAAAAAACTATAAGAAAACATGGAATTTCAACCACATGATCCTGAATGACCAATGAGTGAATAAAGAAATGTAAAAGGAAATTTAAAAAATTCCTTGAAACAAATAAAAATAGAAACACAATATACCAAAACCTGTGAGATACAGCAAAAGCAGTAGTAAGAGACTAGTTTATAGCAGTAAATTCCTGCATCAAAAAAGGAGAAAGATTGGCCAGGCACGGTAGCTCATCTCTGTAATCCCAGCACTATGGGAGGCTGAGGCAGGCGGATCACGAGGTCAGGAGATCGAGACCATTCTGGCAAATGCGGTGAAACCCCGTCTCTACTAAAAAATACAAAAAAGTTAGCCGGGTGTGGTGGCGGGCGCCTGTACCCCCGGCTTCTCGGGAGGCTGAGGCAGGAGAATGGCGTGAACCCAGGAGGCAGCAGAGCTTGCAATGAGCAGAGATCGCGCCACTGCGCTCCAGCCTGGGCGACAGAGCGAGACTCCGTCTAAAAAAAAAAAAAAATAGGAGAAAGATTTCAAATAACCTAATGATGCATCTGAAGAAACTAGAAAAACAAAGAACAAACCAAACTCAAAGGTAGTAAAAGGAAGAAAATAAGGATCAGAGCAGAAATTAAAGACTAAAATAATACAAAGTACACAAAACAAGTTGGTTTTTTGAAAAAATAAAATCAACAAGAAAAAAGAGAGCAAATCCAAATAAAATCAGAAACAAAACACGTCACAACTGATATTACAGAAATACAAAGGATCATTGAAGACTATTATGAACAACTATATGCCAATATATTTGAAAATCTAGAAAAAATAGATAATAAATTCCTGGACATATAAAACCTATCGAGTCAAGAAGAAATAGAAAACCCGAACAGACCAACAAGGTATAATACAACTGAATCACTAACAAGAAAACTCTCCCAACAAAGGAAAGTCCAGGACTGGATGGCTTACCACTACATTATCTTCTCAAACTATTCCAAAAATTGAAGGGGAGGAAATTCTTCTAAACTCATTCTACAAGGCCAAAATAACCCTGATACCAAAACCAGGCAAGGACATCACACAAAAAGAAAACTACAGACCAGTATCCCTACTGAACATAAATGCAAAAATCCTCAAC